TCTTATACTTTATACTTATTCTTTCATAATGGCTATTTTGTTCATTAAAACTGACATTTAACCAAAAAGGCAGAGTTGTGCTTGTCATATTCCTTTTTTTATTATAGGCTATACAGTGAAGATAATCAGTATATGTGCACATATTACCTAAACCACATATTAATGTTTTATATTTTTAAAATGAAAACGAAACGAGTTGTGTTTTATATTTGGAAGAAAACGGCAAGGCAGTGGTGCTTGATATCATTTCGTTTTATTGTAATGCGTGGATCTGTTGCATGAACCACATTTTTTGTGAGCCTATTAATATTTTAAATGAAACAGAAAAGAGGCAATGCTGTTTGGTATAATATTTCGTTTCACTGTAACGCATGTACGTTCCCTGAACTACATTTTTGTGGCTATTAATATGTTTAAATGAAAACGAAAGAGGCAGTGATGTTTGATATCATATTTCGTCGTATTGTATACACACATGTAGAAATTGCCAGAGTAGCCAAGGCGAGCTGACTGACGTTATCAAGCTCAAGGCAAGTTTATTGAATTTGATATAACTTGAACAAGTTATAATTCAAGTACGCTGCTGTTCCATTTGCAGAATTACCGGACTTGTGTCCCCCCGTCCCCAGGAGCTCGCACTCCCGAGTCCAACTTGCGAAGTCCGAACTTTGCGTGCTTGGTATTGAGAAACAGCTACAGTCTCCACCTAGCATGGTATATATGCTGCATGCCACTAGTAGACAGTCGACCCAAACACAGCTATTTCTTATAGTGTATTGTTGAATGGAAAGCACATTGCACAGCCTTTTCTTTTGTCGGAAGAGAGCATAATTTTAATACACATTAAACATAATGATGCAGAAGGCTATTTGATTTTGATTAGAATCAGTGCACCCGGTCATGCGTCAGCGTGTTACGGCGTGTTTGTCCCCGCCCCGCCCCTGACAGCGCGTGAAAATCATACGAGGTTGAAGAAGGAGGGGTTTGTATTAGATGAATGACTCCTCGAAAGGGGCGGAGCATCCAAGTCTTCAATTACTACTACAGCCGGCTGATGCGGGCACCGGTAGAAACACAGGTTGATCCCGAAGAAAACGGCTTAGGCGAACAGACACGTCGTTGTTGTTGTTTTTAATCGAACGGGTTTATTTTTTTCCTTTTTTGTTTCATATCATTCAATAACTGGATTCATAGGTAAAGTGTAAACGACTTTAAACGTAAATCTTCAAGAACGAGATGGCTAGAGGAGAGGGCGCAGAGCAGTACTCCAATACCAGTCTCCTTCAAAAACCCAGCCCAGATGGAATCAAACTGGCAGCAAAGGTAAGGAACTGAAAATAAGTTATGCTTTCATTCAGTGATAAGTTTATTAGCAGCGTCCGTGTTTCCCATGATTAGCTACAGCTTAAAATGTGCTTACATCTTTTGTCCTTCAGAGATCACTGAATTGAACGAAAGTATTTTAAATGCAATGAGGGAATTCGTGAGGTTATCAGTTGAAAGAGAAACATTTGTAATTTCCCCAGTATCTCAAATAATCGTTAAATATAGTGAAACTGACTAAACGAGTACAACATATTTCAGTTAAATTATTTAATTTTAATTTCCTGACAGATTTTTTGTTGTTGTTGTACGGATTTCAAGACTTACCCTATTACAGCAAAATAACCAGAAAAAGGCCAAACATATAAATATGACAACAATATAAATACAAATATGGAAAGCTCTGTCTCGGTTCAGTAAGTGCATAAACTACTTAAACGTCCCAATGCTTTGTAAATTATTAAAAAATGAATGCACATTTCCTCTATTCACTTTACTACTTAAGAGTTTGCATTGATTTTCAACAATGGCATGGTCTGCTAACAATTAATCCTTACTTAAAGTTTATTTATGGCAATTATTCTACCAATCACCCAGCAATTTTAGATGCGTAATATTTGGGTGTATAACACAAAGTCCTAATTAATTGATCCAAGTCTAGATTCCACATGCCACATCATCAGAATGGATAATCCATGCAACCCTAAATTTAAACAGTCATTTGATTTATGAGGTTGACATTATGTGATAGGGCTTTATTGCTGTAAAACGTGATATGCATTTATTGCTGATGCAGATAAGCTAAATGAGTCATAGATTCTGCATCCCAAAAGTTTCAGCTCTGATAGATGGAAATGGCTAAAACACCATCATTTAAATGGAGACTGGCTGGAGTCTTTTTAGTTTATCCTGACCGTTGCAAAGATGAAGGGAAACCTGACATTAGAGGATACCATCACAATTGCTAGAAATGATCGGTTGTCTTGTAGAAGTGTCCTGTTCGACAGCAGTATTTCACTGTTTAGTGGCATCATTACAAAACCATTGCATGTGTGTTTCTCTACTTATGGTTGACTTTATAGCAACCATATTTACCCCCATGTGTACTGGCATCACAAGCGAAGGCAGAATGTAGTCCAGAATTAATAAAAGACTCGCTCACACTACATGCCAACAAATCCTCTATTAACAGTCCTTAGTGAAGCAGCTGGCAAAGAATTGTTCTCTATTTCTGCTATAATAGCAATGTTGCGCTGAATTGGTGTCAGTTGGACACTTCCATAGGACTGTAATCCAGTCTCTTCGTTACATGACGTTGGAGTGTTAAGGTTGTCCAAGTGTCCTTTAACATGAGCAGGTGGCATTGAGAGAACACCATGTGCAATAAAGCCAAAGGTAGTTACTTAATGTCTTCACATTGCAACTTCAATGGTTTATTTTAGGAGGATGCATGTGACAGACACTTGACTAATGTATAAGAAATCACCAAACTGACTGAAAATCACACCCACTCTTGATAAATGAGAACAGGAGTGTCAAGCTCGTATTTTAAACCCATGACTCTCCCTGAGCCTCTTGAAATGTGCTGATCAGCCGTGAGTTGATGTACTGATGTTCATCACAGAAGAACGCTGCCTGTCTCCTCTGATTGTGTTCAGTGGGATTTCTTGCTTGAGGGCTCCCTGACCAAATATACTACCCAGCTGTATGGGAAATTAGGTTATGTTTGGATTAGAACCAAACAGCAAGTCAAGCAGAAATGCATAGTGTTAACATAATTAAAACCAGCGCTTTTCTAAGAGTGAAAATCCTAGCTATTCAACAACTTAAGCCAAATTACAAGTGTGTCTGGCCACCGTGTGCTACAATTATGTTAGTTTGAATCCCAACTGAGACACTGTGTGTGAACTCATATGACCTTAATGAATATAGCATCTGTACTGTATTCGTAATTATTTGCAGTGTCTTTTTATGAACGTCTCAAAACATACCCTGTTTCTTCCTCTTTTTTTTTTTTTTTTTTTTAAATATCGTGAATCAAGGGGCCGGTTGTCGGTATGCAGCAAGTTGTGTTATGCCATTGGGGGAGCACCATATCAGATAACAGGATGTGCAATCGGCTTCTTCCTTCAGATCTACCTGCTGGACGTTGCTTTGGTGAGTGAAACCGTGTGATTGTTTTTACTAATAACATCTTAATCATATGGATCAATCAACTGATTCATCATAGTTGATGAATTTTGATGAATTCGTGGAAAGGGCTTCATAACAGAAGATCAGAATGACTTGTAGAATGTAGAATCTGATTGCGATCCTCAGAGGGCAGTGGGTTTCTTTACTCTCCTGTTCACATAGTCAGAGGCGACAAGTACAGTTACAAAGGGGAATTGTACTGGAAAATGAATAGTTTTGCAAAGGCCTTTCATGCCATTAACTTTTGGGGGAGCTACTGTAGTCTTGGCAGGCTGATTGACCATATTAAAGAGTCTGAATAGGATTGCTCTAATAGCCTTCAGTGCTTATCATGTAACCACTGACTACAGAAGACAGTTTCCCAGTGTTAGTTCAGCAAATGTGTTTAATTAACAGTTATTCCTACAATACACAATCCTCCAGCAGTTTTACAAGTGTGTTGTACTAGAAGTAAAACGGTTTCAGCTGAGTAATATTGTGTGGTTTATGATCTCATGTATCTCAAGCTCATTGGGCAGGCCTCATGTGCTCCTCTTGATCGCTGTAAGAAGTTGTTGTAGTTTTCATGCTGCCTAGCCCTCGAAACGGTTATAAATATTTGTAGATTTATCATGAGAAGTCATATATGCAACTGATATGCAGTGGTACATATCTCTTCCTTATCACCAATGTAAAAATGTAATATTTAACAGAACTTTTTCCTGTTTAAAAAGTCTTTCTTTACTTTTTCATGTTAGTATTTCATCAGTTAGTTTGAGTTATCATTAAGTCCATTCTGATGCTGAATAAAAGTTCTTGGAAAACTCTCAACCAGTAATGTGTGATGATGACGACATGCTGGTCTTTCTCTTTTCTTGACAGTTGGACCCATTTTATGCCTCCATCATCTTGTTTGTGGGTCGAGCATGGGATGCCATCACAGACCCTACGGTGGGCTTTCTAGTCAGCCGGAGTCCCTGGACCAGATTTGGACGAATGATGCCCTGGTAAGTCTTTCTTCACCCCGTTGCATTGGATTTCTCCAAGGGTTTATCGTCTAGGTCTTTGTGCATTCATACCTTGATGTTCAGAGCAATCTTTCACATTAAACATTAAACAAGACTCAGAATTGTCTTGTTTAAGGAGCATGTTGCCTGTAGTAACTGTCTGCCCTTCTTAGGAAAATTAGTTTCACAATTCAACCCTCCACTAACTCAGAGGCCTCCTCTGTTGCATTTAAAATACGTCCCAAATGAATCTCTCTGCTCCGTCACTTGCTTTGTCTTCTGACCCATTTCTCTGTTGTTGTGAAATGTCAGGAGGTAGTCTTTAAGTGAGAGAGCCAAGTGTATCTGGTGATGTTTCTAAGTCAGAGTAGGCTTGTGGGCTAAATGAAGTCCCCTGAGCTCTCATGGGGGGTTGAGGGGTGTGATGGGTGGGGGGCTGGATACACCACAGTAGCTTTGCCTTCGGCCAATTTGCATTTTCAGCCGGCCAATCTGATTTGATTCTACATCACATGCATGACTAAACCACTTTATCAGTGTCCTGACAACAAGAAATGCTTTCCATTGAGCAACAAATTATAAGCAAGTTAAATGGTTCCCTTTCTTAACTTGTATTGCAGAATATATGGAGGCAAATATGCTTAAGAAACCAACATTTGGTCCAAAACTAGCTACCAAGTGACGGCATAATTTAGGTTAAAATTTAGCTTCTTACTCATTTTGGTGTAGTTAAACATTACTTCTAGCAAAAACAAATTCACTGTATTTAGACCATATGCCCTGAATGTTGGTAATTTGGTTGCGAAAAGTGCAAACCTCATAGAAAATCGAAATTGCTAATACTGTATTTAATTTGACCTCACGAGGCTGGCGACCAATATTTTTCCAATTATTTTTCAGCACGTCTTTTAATAGACGAACAGCTCTTTCCCACAACACAAAACACATGAAAAATTGAAACTTTGAAACTAGTGACCCTTAACCCTGCACTTGCACAAGCCTTATCTGTAGTGACAGTGATGCCTGCGACGATGGAGGTGTCTTCTTTAGAGAACGCTTGTGTGGTTCTCTACACAATGAAGGCTTTTGGGTTTGGTGAAAGCCTTATTGGGTTAGACTGTGAGAAATCTGGGTTTGCAGCATCAAATGAAGCAAATAACCAGTTTATCATTTCTTAACTGGTGTTCTCAACCTTGGAAAAATAGGCGATCAGGCTAACATCAAAAGCACTGTACACGATTCCACTTTCTCAGTCTTATTTTCCAAATGATGGTCAGTTTGAAGAGTGTTCAAGTCATCAGAAGTAGGAGGTCACTCATTGTATGAATAATTGGAAAACCACTCCGAGGAAGTAATGGGGGGATGGGGTGAGGAATGTGCGTCTGCTTTTTAACTGGACTCAGGGCATGTGAAGGAATCTGGTAGGAAGCTGGTGAGAAAGTTCTGCCCTATTGAGCTCATTTCAGTGACACTGGATCTGAGCAAGATGGGTTGTATCCTCTCAGGGTGGTGTGATTACAAGATCCCTAGTGATGCTAGACTTGTGCTGTGATGTCACTTGGGAGTACATGAGACAGGTTTAGTTCTGGGTATATGTGGGAGAGAAGGACTTTTTTCTCCCCTAACTATCCCTGTGGAGAGTCATATGGACCACAAGCCTGTATAATTTAATTTTCTCAATGCTTGATCACATGCATTATTAATAGTCACAAGCATGTGAGTTAAGCTATCATAATCCTGAAACGGAATTTATTGCAAAGGTTAGTCACACTTGCAATGGTATATTAAATGACATGAGCTGGGGAACTGTAAAGAAAATGTCAATATTTGAACATGTGATAGGATCTCATAAACCGTAAATGATTTTCAAGTCACCATAAACCTAAAAAAACATTTAGAGTCAGAACGGCTAAGAGCATCTCTGATCTTCCGTAATCCATGGGATATTTTCTGTCTATAAGCGACGTTGTGTAGATTGAATTATCTGAGGTGTAATTCCGCAAATGGCATGAATAACAGGACATTTGTCTTGTGCTGCCGAGCTCAGAAGGAAGACATTCCTTTTTTTCGTGCTGCATGCCTTGGGGGTTGGGAGTTATATGCAAAATGCGGCAACTCTTGAGTGGTCCCACCCATAACACACCACCTCTGTCGTCCAATCAGAGTGAGAGGGAGGCAGACCAACACAGCTTCAAATCTAAAGGCAGCATACTGGGGTTACTTTAGTTCAAATGCCAGCCTTGCTGGTAGAGTGAGATTGTTACTGTTTTGAACTAGCCACATTTTTTTTGCTATATGTGTGCACTTGAATATTTGTTCAGTTAAGGCTTTTTCTTGCTTTCTGAATACACATTTTAATTCAGATTCAAGAAACTATTGAGAAATCGAATATATGCAATCTAATTTCATAACAAATGTTTTAATAGATTGGTGATATTGTATAATAGAATTATACTGTAGTATATAGGTCAAAACGGCTGTAAAAGGTTTTGAGTTTTGTTGCTTTTAGTTCAGAAGATATTCTTGTGAATAATTTCTAATGCACTTTAATAACCCTCAATCCAGCAAACCCATTCCTACCTTTATGTCCTATTAAGTTTGTATAGACAAATATTACTTTGTTCAGTGCAAGCAAAGTCCAATATCTAATCTAAATAATGTCAGGGTGAACTTTTTAAAAATAATAATATTCAGTTTGTTTATTGTAATTGATCATTTAACTATATTTTGTTTTTATAGAGAGGCTAAATTTTTTTTGTTTTTGCACAAAATATGTGATGATAATAGTATACTAAAGCTCAGTGAAAAAATCTGACCTTATTTGAAATGAATATTTTTGGACTCTTACATCGTTCTGAACACATTTTTGCATTAAATTCTCTTGAATAACATCACTGCAGTACCTTTTTAAATTAGAAATGTAACACAGACAGGTTCATGCGAAAACTGCCAACGCTTTCTGGGGAATAGCTTTAATGACTTATATGGGTAGTGCTACACCTTTGAGTACTGCAGTCTTATTGGTAGCTGAAAGCATTATGGAATTAGCCAAAATATTTAATAAACAAACAGAAAGGGGGTGGAGAGGGGCGTGGGATGTACTCACTGAATACAAACATTCACATTCTGCGTAAATCGGTGGAATTCTCTGGGGTCCGATTCTGTTAAGGTCTGCTCTAGAAAAACCGCTAAGTGAGGCTCACCTTTTTTTTTTTTTAAATAATGCTGGGTTTTACTACTCGACATGTTAAGTCGCTACCAGGAAAACAAAATGTGGTACCATTCAGTTCTAAGACGTGTAATGCACCTGAAATGGTATTTCCTTGTACAGATGCGACAAATTAACCAGTATTAGACAATGTATTTCCACTTCAGCATCATGTTGGCCACATGGGTCACTGAACAAAGACAGGAAGTTATCCAATCAATTCTTTCATCGCTCATAGTCATGGGGGACAGAAATGACACAGTGCTTGACAAGGTTCAATGACACTAGTAAACTTCATCTACATGTACCTGATCCCAAACCTGTTTATCATGGGGAAGCAGAATACCAATCTAGTTATACTTCATTTTTTTACCTTTTGTACATTTCTTCTAATCTTATATATCTTTTCCTTGCAGGATTGTACTGTCTACGCCATTGGCCGTGCTATGTTATTTCCTCATTTGGTACGTGCCATCTGTTGACCAAGGCAAGGTTGTTTGGTACCTGATCTTCTACTGCTCCTTCCAAACATTACAGACGGTGAGTAACCATCTTTATATGACCGTAAGTTGTAGCCTGTAAAGTTCCTCATAATTTCCTTCTTGACCTTTTGGCATTGTCTTTTTCTTCAAAAAACAGTGCTTCCATGTACCGTATTCTGCACTTACTATGTTTATCAGCACTGAGCAGAAGGAGAGGGATTCAGCCACAGCCTACCGTGAGTTTCAAAGCATCTCCAGCTAGATACATCCATCCATCGTTTTCAAATTCACAGCTAACCGCTAATCTCTTATCTCAGGAATGACTGTTGAGGTTTTGGGCACGCTCATTGGCACTGCTGTTCAAGGTCAGATTGTGGGAATGGCTAACGCTCCTTGTATCAGCACTGGCAAGGACCTGAACTCTACAGATCTGCAGGGGGCTCCGGAGGTCAACATCACTGAGCCTAATGTTTCACTGAAGCATCTGGTAAGGATGTTTTCTTTTAAGGTTGACTAAATTAAAATTCTTGCTGTATTGGTATTAAATGCCTGGTATCATGTGGTTCCCACAGAGAAATGCTTACATGATCGCATCTGGTGTCATCTGCTCAATTTATGTCGTCTGTGCCATGGTCTTGTTCCTTGGTGTGAAAGAACAAAAAGGTAAGTGCTACTACTACCGCAAAGTTACATTTATTACAAATGAAACTTTATGTAATTAAACTTGCACTACTGTTTAAAAATTTGGGGTCGGCGTAAGATTTGTTTTTAATGTTCTTAAAAGAAGTCTATTATCCACTCGCTGCATTTATTTTGCCAAAAATAAAGTAAAAATTATAATTTTGTGAAATATTACAATTTAAAATAACTGTATTTGAATATATTTTACATTGTAATCTATTCCTGCGATGCAAAGCTAAATTTTTACCATCACTACTCCAGTCTTCAGTGTCACATGATCCTTCAGAAATCATTCTAATATGCTGATTTGGCATAGAAAAAACAGTTGTGCTGCCTAATATTTTGTATATAATACCCTTTTTCAAAGTTTCTTTGAATTGAATTGAAAGTTCAAAAGAACAGTCTTTATTTGAAATAGAAATATTTTGTAACATCGTAAATGTCTTTACTGTGACTTTTGATCAATTTAATGCATCCTGGCAGAATAAAAGTATTGTATTTCTTTAAAAACAACTCTTACTGACTCCAAACTTTTGAATGGTAGTATAGCTTCTTTTTTAAAGACTTTATGCTATCATAATTTAAGACTTCATTTTATGCTTTTATGCTGATAGCTATGAGGTCTTGTAGAAATTTTAAATGTGTATATCTAGAAAAGGTTCATCTTCTAATATGCTGGTAAAATTTACAAGTATAAATGCTGGAAATGTACCAAAACTTTGATGACTCGTGCTGCATAACAAAGATTTTTGTCCAATCCTCTGTAAAATGTCCCTACTACTGAAACTGACTTGTAAACAGCAAATCATAGTTTTTAACTGTGATTTAACTAAAGCCAATTGGCTGTCTTAAAACAGGGAAATGATCCATTCGGTATGTCTCGCCCATACTTTCTGTTTCAGTGAGAAATGTATGTAAACATTGAATCCCATGAAGTTGCTTGCAGATGTACCCGGGTTTTTCCACACTGCTCGGGTTTCTATGAGTCAGTAGGAAATGCCAGTGAATATGCTTAGCGGGGTGATTAGCTTTCACAGCACAAATAGGGCTGTCTAAATGAGGCGCATGGTAAAGGAAGGTTATTATTGGTGTTCTCTAGAGTAGTTTAGTTTAAACTAAAATATTGAGCCTTAACATGCAGACCTCAGTAGACTTTTCTAAGGAAAATCAAGCACAGTCTTGGCTCATCATCACACCTCATTTTTGGTTTTATCATGCTCAACACTTAGAAATGAAAGCATACGAGCAATTAAACAACATATTTTGTGGCGGATCCCTTATCATGCAATGCAATGACTCATTTTGGCAGCTAATCAAAATGTAAACGGTTGTGTGCACCAATTTCCTTTATTATGATTCTTCAGTAAGCTAACACCTGAGAATTGGTGGGGAAAAAGCCTAGTCTCTTCCCCACTGCTCTGTTATTCTTTGCATTTGATGTTGCACCATTAATTGCCATTTGTTTCCATCATCTCATCTTGCCTCTCTTCGTTTTGACAGAGACCTGCAGGGTTAGGACTGAGCCCATGTCGTTCTTCCAGGGCATTCGTATGGTGATGGGTCACGGCCCGTATGCCAAGCTGGTCATGGGCTTCCTCTTCACCTCTCTGGCTTTTATGGTGAGTTCTTGTGCAAATGATACATTCATTTCATGTTGAGCCGTGGTCACCACCAGCCGTTTGGGTTGTTTAAGCTGTGATCGCCATGTTGCCTTTGGCGATCGCTGTATTTGTTAAGTTTTGCTAATGTGTCTTTACTGTGCAGCTTATTATTTCTATAAACATTTCTTGCAGTTTCTGGAGGGAAACTTTGCACTGTTCTGTAGCTACACCCTTGGCTTCAGAAATGACTTCCAAAACATCCTTCTCGTCATTATGGTGAGCAAACTAAATCTGTCTTTTGTGGGCTTTTTGAATGCTAAAGACTCTGTATGGTCTGTAAAGATAGGTGAGGTGTCATTATGGAGTGATTGACAGTGACATTTTGACAGACAAATGTACAAAAGGAAAGCACTTATTGGGTCCATTACATAACACATTTGCATAATACAAGTTCCATTTTTGCTGACCATCTGAATAGACTAGTGTTTCCAGTAATGTATTACGCCTTAATCAACCCACAACTCGCTCACTACTCATAAAATGCTCCAGTATCGCAGAAAAGTTGTCAATATCCAGAGTATTGACAACTAGATTATTGTTTAAGGAAGAAAAAGGACGTTCATCTAGTTTCAAAGAACAAGAATGTCTTGTTCATTTGTTTTTGTCCTTGAGATCAGAGTGTTCAAACCCCAGATTCCTTTAAGAATTCATGTTCAATAAGAGAGTATTATTGTAGTCATGTAAAACCCGGTCTGCTGACTTTTTTTTCAGACTACAATAACCTTCGTTCAGAGAGCTGAATGCATGAATGGAACGTTTTGAGGCATTGTCCTAGATATGACAAAACATTCCAGTATTGTTGTCAGAAAGGTGTGTTAGGTAGCATTCTTACTGCTGGGAACCTGTGTGAACACGTAGATAGATAAATTCATTGCCAGAAACCTAATCTTAGCTAATGCCTTGTTCACACACATTATCAGTCACGAAAACCATCTTGCAGTGCATTGCTTTTACTGTATTACAAACTGATATCTCTGTCGGCATAGATCATCAAAATGTTTAATATTTGAAAAATGTTTGTCTTCCAAATCATCATCATGTGGTGTGACCAACATATACACAAAAACTAAAACTTTTTTTCATCCATTTTCAACAGTAGTTGTCTTTGAGCTAGTTCTATTTAAATTTTCTCTATTTCAGCTCTCCGCCACACTTGCCATCCCATTTTGGCAATGGTTCCTCACTAAATTTGGCAAGAAGACCGCTGTGTATATTGGGACTACAGTAAGTACTGGCAGCGGCACATAAACCTTCATTGAATTACACTAACTGACCAACAGTGGCTGCTTCTGGTCTGTCATCTACTGTAATTGATGCTTTGGTTCCTGTTACTGATGGTTTATATTCTCTATGCAGTCTGTGGTGCCTTTCCTGGTCTCCGTCGTCTTTGTGCCCAGCAATCTTATTGTGACGTACGTCGTGTCCTTTGCCGCTGGAGTCAGCGTTGCAGCGGCCTTCCTCCTGCCATGGTAAGTACCTGAGAATTGTACAAATGCATGTGCACTTACAGATTTGGTGCACTTTATTCATGGAGTGTGCTTTCCTATATGCTCAGGTCCATGCTTCCTGATGCCGTGGATGATTTTAAAGTCCAAAATCCTGAATCTCAGGGCCATGAAGCCATCTTCTACTCCTTCTATGTGTTCTTCACCAAGTTTGCATCTGGAGTTTCCTTGGGGGTCTCAACTCTTAGTCTTGAGTAAGTTTCACAGCCTTGTACATGAAATACTGGCTTTTAAATTGGATTATAGTGTTCATGATCCACTAAGCCCGGCTTTTTGTTTTACTGTATGAGAATCAGTCTGGCCTCCTGACATTCAGATTTAATGCGATTAGCGTCAGTTTTATGGGCTTTTGAGTTTGGAGACATGACCATATAGGATCGTGTTTTACTGTGAGATTCAGTGATCAGTCATGAGGATGGATTTATCTGGATGAACATGAATAACAGATTAATCTCTCGTTTCTTCTCTTTCAAACAGTTTTGCCGGCTATGTGACGAGAGGTTGCACGCAACCCGCTGAAGTCGATTTAACATTGAAGATCCTGGTGTCTGCTGCTCCAATAGTCTTTATCATTATCGGGCTGCTAATATTCATCTCGTATCCAATCAACGAGGAAAAGAGACAAGGCAACCGCAAAATACTTAATGAACAACGGTAAAGCCACCTATTGATTTGAAGTCTTTCAGTCACATGTTTTGCTTTAAAGACGTTAATCCTGCTCAACATTCTCGAAATCTATAAGTTAACATGGTACTTTTAAACCTCTAAAGCTGATTAAATGGCATTCTTTAAATTATTTTGCCTGTGTCCTTACTGTGTCCTGTTTTTTTTTTCTTTTCTTTTTTCAGAGAAAATGAAATCGACTCAGAAACAGACTCCACTGAGCTCAATGTGGTTTAATAGCACCAGAACACTAGACAGAACATCGTGCCAATCGCGTCGGACCAACAGAGCCAAAACAAACTGAGTGGATGCTTTGAACCAACCATGCTGCCTTGTGGCTGAAAACTTCCACCCATATCACCCCTACACGACCGCAAATCAAGTTGAAACGTAACCTTTGCCAGCTCAAGTTCAAAGTGCCTTGCCATTTCCAGTTGCAAGTGCTTATGGACGCTAGAAACATTTCCCTGAGTTGCACAAGGCTTTTGTGTGTTGCAAGTATTTGTGCTGCTCACTGGCATAGGATCTCAAAGCAGTGTCCAAAAAAAGCCAACTTTTGATAAGCACACATCTAGACTGCACTAAAAAATGATCTGAGGTGGGACATGTCTACCGTAAGAAGAAACTTGAAACATTTAAAAAAAGGTTTTTAGGTGCTACAACCAAAAATGCATTTCAATCGTGATTGAAAGGTACATTCTGGGAGGAATATCTGTGAAACTGTACACAACGGAGTAATATTTGTATGTAATTTAATATTTATAAATGCTTTTGTGAATCTAACTGGATAAGCAAACTTGAAACATTGAGACCTGAGTGGGGTTTGATTACATCAAACTTCAGTATTGTGCACAGAAGGTTATTGTTTATTTCTTGTATTACTTTCCTTCACATACTCCTTCTATTGTGTTCCTTTTCATCTGCTTCTGCTCTCTTGGGGCAAACAAACAGAGCTTGTTTAGAGGGATGCGCTGAGGGATAAACTTACAAATTTGGTCCCTCAACACCTTCAGATGATATGCTTCAGATCAGAGGATCTTATTCGATTAAGTTCTGGATGGGTTCACTGAAGTGTGGATCAAAGTGCTGCTGACAACTGAAGACTAGCAGGATGCCATTAGACTATGTGGGGTTAAAATGTACGATCAATTGCTTATTTTGTGAGGTGAACAAGGTTAAGTAGTTATTACTTTTGTTTTAGATCATGTGTTGATTTGATTTATGTCTGTTTCTCCCATCTTCCTTAATTTGTCTTGTTTAAGGGTCTCATTTGCATGAAATAAGGGCAATTCGAGCTGTCATTGCTGAATTATGTCTAATAGCCTATGCCATTAATTCCTATGGAAAAGCCAATCGGTGTGTTTATAGGTGACTGCTGTTTGTTTAGGTGTTAAATTAATCTGATTTCTGGTCTGTTTGTTTCGTGTCAGTGTCCGTATACAGTAGTTGTCTCAAAAGTGCTTTTATTATCGTATAGTTCTCTGCCTGTAACTTCTGTGTGTCAAAGATCTGAATGCCAAATGTTTCTCTACCATCTGTAAGTGCTGTGATAAATGTACATAGACCATCTGAAAATATTAAGTCATATTTTTTATTTTCTATTTAGGGAAAATGGAATGGCTTGTAAATAATATTTGTGTAAATGTCTTATTTTATACATATGATGCGCATTGAAATCTCATCAGTGCATGTTTGGAGTTCATACGGTTTCCTAACACGTGTCAATTTTGTATTGATGCATCTGTGACTTTTTTCATTTTCATTAACACCGGTTTGTGGTGATCTGTTAAGATTTCTGTATTCTGACATCAAACATTACAGTTATTGTATATAACAGATGTGCTGATGTTTGTACATAGACGTGATATTTCTGGATGCAATTGTGGTAAGTGTGTAGTTATTTAAAAGAAACGATGTTACAAAAATGTTTAATAAATACTAATTAATATTCAAGGATCATCATTTGCTTTTTTCCCCTTCTACCACCTCAGCCTCTTATATAATAAAATCTAAAAACATTTTTCCTATCTGTCTGTCCCATAGACTAAAAAAAAAAGGTCTGTACAGAGAGAGAGCTGGCATACTTTATTTTTTTATTTTGAAGAAATCCAAATTCCATTTCACTGTGGCTTTTCTTCAGTGTCATATTATTTCATTATGAAATATTATCGATATCGGTTTCAAAACGCGGTTTTCAAAGTGTTAGTCCATTTTAATTCAAAAAGGAGAGAAGGACAGAAAAATCTCGCAGTCTCAACAGGGTCAGTGTAGGAGCGCCTCCTGGAGGAGACAGGCAGCAGCTCAATGGGTCGCATCTTCACGCGCTCGATTACTCTTCCTGCTGTTGAATAGCTGGACAATCTATTGTTCTGAGCTGATGCAACACTATCGTTACAAAGCAAAATATTTTAAAATAGCTTAATAATACACATTTAGTTATATATGTCTAATATATTTCACCGATATATCCAAATATTTTTGTAAACTCGTGTACATAAATTGATAAAACTAACTTTCATTCATAGATATAGCTGAGGGGCTTTTATGATGAAATCCGTGATGAAATCTTCCAACAGAAAGAGCCTGTCACCGGCACACACGCTTCTCAGATACCACCGGTGAGATTTAATGTGCATTTGTATTAAATATCTGAGCTTGTGTCATCGATTATCGCTGACATTTTATAAGGATAGTATTACATTTATACCGACCTATGTCCTGCTTTGAGGTGTTTCTATCTCTCTGGGAAATGCATAACGTTACATAAGACAGCTCATCCTCAGAGGTTCATTCATAGCAGGCGTCATTTTAACTCGGGGCTGAATAACTGTTCCTAAAAATAACAGTTTTGACATATGGCTTCTACCAGAACCACAAATTGAGTTTATGCTCGTTATTTGTCATATAAGCCTGTGATTACTCCATTCGCACAGAAGCGGCAGACATCATGGGAGAGCAGCGGAGTCCTGATGAGAAGTTCCAGCTCATCACCAGAAACCTTCAGGTGAGAAACTGCAGGGAAAGATGTTAAAGCGATAGTTCACCCAAAAACTAAAATGTGATGTTTATCTGCTTACCCCCAGAGCATCCAAGATGTAGGTGACTTTGTTTCTTCAGTAGAACACAAACGAAGATTTTTAACTCGAACTTCGTTCGACTCGTTGCAGTCTGTCAGTCATATAATGGCAGTCAATGGGCTCCGCGACTTTGAGAGTAAAAAAAAAACATACACAGACAAAACCAAATTAAACCCTGCGGCTCGTGACGATACATTGAGGTCTTAAGACACAAAACGATCGGTCTGTGCAAGAAACTGAACAGTATTTATATCATTTTTTACCTCTGATCCACCGCAATGTCCAACTTTCCTGTGCGCGTTCTCGACAGCCGGCCCGTGACGTTATAAGTAGATGCCTCATTAGTGACTGTTTCGATGGGCTGCGATATGTTCCAAAATGGCAGACACGTAAACGTATCTGGAGCGGTCGAATAGGGCATCTATACATATCTATGATAGTAGACGCATGTGCGGAAGCAATCTGTCGCGCGTATACTTCACTCATTATTTACACAGTGCAGAGAGATTGCGTACGTGTTCACTGGCACTGCGATGATCTAAATATATTTAGAAGTACAGGTCATCACAATGGAAGATGATTTTGAGATATCATCAGACAATGTGGAATTTTTTGCCCAACGGTATGTATTTGACGTCACGCGCCGGATGTTGTGAACGCGCTCAGGACAGTTGGACATTGCGGTGGATCAGAGGTAAAAAAGGATATAAATACTGTGCAGTTTCTTGCACAGACCGATCGTTTCGTGTCTTAAGACCTCAATGTATCGTCACGAGCCGCAAGGTTTAATTTGGTTTTGTCTGTGTATGTTCTTTTTACTCTCAAAGTCGTGGAGCCCATTGACTGCCATTATTAGACTGATAGACTGCAACGGTTTGAGTTAAAAATCTTCGTTTGTGTTCTACTGAAGAAACAGTCACCTACATCTTGGATGCCCTGGGGGTAAGCAGATAAACATCACATTTTCATTTTTGGGTGCACTATCCCTTTAAGAGATTCCCAAATTCCTTGTAACAGCTCAAAAACATATTTAACATTTGAAGCATGTCTGTTGTTGTTTTGAAGATATTCATTATTTCGTTTTTTTTTTTTACATGCACCGTTAGTGAGGTGTCTGTTCTGTCAATTTCAAAAGACTGTTTCTGCCACTTATTTTCTCAGGAGGTTCTTGGTGAGGAGAGGTTGAAGGAGATCCTGAAGGAGAGGGAACTGAAGGTCTACTGGGGAACAGCAACCACGGGCAAACCCCATGTGGCCTACTTTGTCCCCATGTCAAAGATAGCTGACTTCCTGAAGGCGGGCTGTGAGGTTTGTCTCTGGTGTTCTGTATTTGTTCCGAGTTACTTGCATGGACAATTTGTCAGGTGTGTATAACTATTGATGTTTCTGTTCTGTAGGTGACCATCCTCTTTGCTGATCTCCATGCCTATCTGGACAACATGAAAGCTCCCTGGGAGCTCCTGGAGCTCAGAGTGCAGTATTATGAGCAGATCATTAAGGCCATGTTGGAGAGCATTGGAGTTCCCCTCGACAAACTCAAATTTGTTAAAGGCACAGACTATCAGCTCAGCAGGTAACCGTCCCTTTTATTTAAATACTGTAGCTATAATTTCAAACAGTTACATAGGATGATAATTGACCAAATGGTTTTTAGGGAAGAGATATGTTTTGTTGTGTTGTCAAACATGTTGTTCTTACCATGAATACAAAGATGATGTTTGTGGTTATTTCTTTAAGAAGGAGGCAAATGCTTTGTGTGGTTGATTTATTATAGAGAGTACACTCTGGATGTTTACCGACTGTCATCCATGGTCACTGAACATGATGCCAAGAAAGCAGGTGCTGAGGTGGTCAAACAGGTTGAGCATCCTCTTCTGAGTGGCCTGCTGTATCCTGGACTACAGGTATGAAGACCATTTTTTGCTAACATTTTCCTAATCTTTGTAGTCTTCTAGAAGGGTCTGTAAGTATTTGTTTTCAATAATAATGTGAACATGGAGTCAGTTTTAAAAACCTGCTTATTTTTTCATATTGGTGCAAATGCAAATATACAACCCATTCAAATTATGCTGCTTATGTATTTCTACACTACTGTTCACAAGTTTGGAATCAGTATTTTATTATTACTTTTTTAAAAGTAATAAATACTTTCATTCAGCAAAGGTGCATTGAATTGATCAAACGTAACAGGAAAGACAATTATATTATTCGAAAAAAGATTTTTTGTGACACTTTTTTGTTCTTTTAAATTGATTTTTCTTCCACAAAATATGAAACTGATTTCAACATTATAATAAGAAATGTTACTTGAGCAGCAAATCAGCATATTAGAATGATTTCTGAACAATCATTTTAAAATAGAAAAGTTATTTTAAATTGTAGTAATATTTCACTATATTACTGGTTTAACTGTAATATAATAATATTTTTAAATAAATGCAGCCATTGTGAGCATTAAACAAAAAAAAAAGTCCTACTGACTCTAAACTTTTAAACAGCAGTGTATGGTTGTCAGTACTGAGTACTTTATTCATTTATTTAAACCTACATTTCTGGATTGGATGATTTTCTTTTTTTTGGCGTTTTGTTCTATTTTCTAATTTACTGCTTATTCCAGACACTGTGACATTGTTTTTCATTTCTATCAGGCACTGGATGAGGAATACTTAAAAGTAGATGCTCAGTTCGGTGGTGTGGACCAAAGGAAGATCTTCACATTAGCAGAGAAGGTACATTTATACCTATTTCTTATTCCATAAAGGGGTCATAGGATGCGATTTAAATTTTTCCTTTCTCTTTGGAGTGTTACAAGCTCTTGGTGCATAAAGAAGATCTGTAAAGTTGCAAAGACTAAAGTCTCAAATCCAAAGAGATATTCTTTATAAAAGTTAAGAGTCAGCCACGCCTACCTAAAACGGCTCGTTCTAACACGCCCCCACATATCTACCTCACTATGTGGGAAGATTTGCATAACGCCGCCCAAATGTTCACGCAAAGAAAGAAGGCATAACTTTTATTCTCGCTGTAGTATTGTTGTTGCTGTGTGTTTCGTTGTGAAAGCAAAACTACTTTGTTTGGCCTTCCAAAAGAGGACGATATCTGCTTCGTCATGTCTGGAGCTGATCCGTGCTGGTCGCTGAGAAAATACGTCAACTTCGCTCTGTGGATCGCCGGATCGGCTTTCACCATGGACGAAGCGGAGTACAGCCACATGTGGTTGCCGCAAGCCCTCCGGACGCTCCTTCGTCGAATCCGCCGGCCGCGCTGTTCTCAAGCCCGCCGGCCTCCGCTCACTCTAGCCTGTTGTGTGTGAAGCTGTGTGTTTCGTTGTGAAAGCGAAACTACTTTGTTTGGTATTCCAAAACAGGACACGACTACAAATCAGTGGTTAAGTTGTATTTACAACACTGTTCAAGGACCCTTCAACCCAAATATTCAGATGTGTGCAGCACATGTTATGGAGGACTGTTTCCTGGTAGAGTAGTCTACAATGCCGGCTGTTCTGACTAACAGACTGTAAGTAGGTTTTTATATTTAAAGAATTTGCCACTGATGATTCAAACGCGAGTTTTGAGCAGTGTAGAGTAGCACATGGTTTTATGTTTACGCGATGCGATGCAACGCGTAAAAAGACTGTATAAGTCATTATAATCCGTAGTTATGTCCCCACTGGATGCAACAAATGCCTCGATTATAATGGGCTTTAATGTTTTTGTCTCGTCGCTCCAGCCGGGACACGGCATCACAGTATGGTAGGGGCGTAACATTTCTGTCACACGTTTGAGGCATTTTGCCAATCACAACGCACTGGACTGCTGGCCAATCAGAGCACACCTCGATTTTCAGACCGATGAGCTTTGTAAAAATCGACGCGTT